ATCAAATGGTTGCCAAGCACCCTAAACCACCTATCATTTCTCTTTTATTCATCCTTGAAAATAAAATTTCATCCCTACTTAATTCTTCCGCCAATACTGCACGTAAAACTATTCCATTTTTGCAGTCATTTTACTTATCCTCCTATTTCCGACACTTTATTCGTGTTTATCCACTTCAGACATTATCATTATTATCCCTATAGCTACTACTCCGTCATTTCTGTCTCAATTCTTATCATCATGTGCCCAGTCAAAGAGAAATGATAGGACAAATTAAAATGCTGAAGGACAAATTAAAATTAAGTAAATAAGAAACAAAATTTATATCTAATCATATACGTTGTTTTGTATATTAATTTAGAATTCAAACTTTGACACTTCCTTGAAAAACCGTGTTCAAAACTGTATCTTGTATATTATAGTAGGCTCTACCATATGCACACACATTTACAAGCGTATATGTGCTTTGCAGACAAAAGTAAAAATACAAAATTTTCCGAAAGTAACGCATTACTTTAGTAGTACAACGACCAATTCATGTGAATAAACGATACAAGACACATGGATTGCAAATAAGCATGAAGTTTTCTACTTCACTCAATGCGACTTTGATATCACAAAAAGTTGCTATCAAAAATCTTCGATAAAAGATATGACAGCAACTCCACCATCACACTCAGATACTTATTAAATGAAGTCATCATTTATGCAAATATTCATTTAATCTGGAATTTTTGACGTTGAAAAACTACTAACTTTTTGTTTAGCCTCAAAAGCACTTTTATAATCGCCATAAAATCAACCTGTTACTGCGTCCATTCTTCTCTACACTTTTTTTTGCTTCTTATTCATGCATAAAAATTGCTCTCCATAATCAGCACATTTGCTACATCAAAATTTATTCCCACACCTTATGCTATTCTTCTGCATATCACCGCCAACTATAAAGATATGATTTAAAACACAATTTATTATATATAACAAAAAGTTAGTGGTTTTTCAACGTCAAAAATTTAAAATACGCCTTCCGTTATGAAAACTATTTCCTCCACATTTTTATATTAAAAACGACATCGTAAGAATGGATGAACTATGGGAATAGCTTTCGACCAAGAATTTAATTGAGATATGATTCTTAAAGATTTAAATTGCAAATTCGTTTACTGGCATGTAGAAAACGGAACGGAGCTTTTCGTTAAATTAAATATTTACATTGCATAAATTCTTAATCCTGACATTGTATGCAAGAGGGAGTGAAAGTTACACTGTACTGAACAATTTCAACTTTATTAATTCTAAATCTCACAAATTAAAAGAATGAACGGTACTACTGTAAATCAACAGCTGGAAGATACTTTAATATCATTCATTAATGAGCAAATTTGAACATTACTTCGAAACGATTCAAAATTAGTACTGGAATTCTTGCCAGCAAATTTGAGCAGTGAGTATTCATCGCGAAATAAGAACACACTGAGAAGGAAGCAGTTTCGAGAGCGATTTTTTTTCAATCTACTTCTTGGTTCCAGAAATATTCAACTGTTTTTGCTATGAAGTCTTAAAAGGTTAAAAAAACTACAGCTGAAATAGAATATATATAGCTAGAATGAATGAGAGAGCAAACTAATACAGCACAAGGGACATGATTCTTTGATTAAATAACCTATGTTAAGGGAAGTTGAAATAGAGCATCCGCTACAAATGCTGCAAAAGTTTTCAAGACGGGTAAAGACAGAACTTGCATCGATATAAATTTTATTTTGTTTGTCATTACCACCACTCTCAATTACAACCGAAAGTCTTTGACTATGACTGTTACTCTATCAGCAGACAACTGAAACCAAACTAAGATTTAACAGTTGGTAAAATCATAACAGTTATTGATTCTACAGAAAGTAATAAATGTCATCTCTGTACATCATAATATCGTTAGCAATTGATAATTAAACTTAGTTTCCCACTCACAAAAAATTAAATCACTACAAATCTAGAAAAAGTCAGTTCTGATCTTAACAGTTCCCTACCTAAATATTAATTTTCATTAGCATAAGAATTTCTAGCTTGAAATGATGAGAAAGGCCGGCCCTGATATAGTGACAACACTAAGGTAAAAAAATACAGTAGTAATGAAGAAGATTAATGAAGAGTAATGACAATAAGTCCTAATGCTATTGATAGTAACTAATTATAATCATATAAATGATGAATAGCAATAATTTAGGACGTTTTTTCAAACCATTAAACCCTGTAACAAAACACACGACTACCCTTGGAATAAACACTCAACAAAAAACATTTGCCTTAAGTTAGACTTCTCTGACAATCCAGATTGTTTCCCATAGTAGCATTATTGAACCCTCAGGGAACCTCGCACACGACGTAATAAAACCGAACTTTAAACACCCAGTCTCTAATTTATCATATATACTTCATTTGAAACCACAGAATACAACTCACCAATGAAGAATACAATTTCTTCACCCCTTCCACAAACAAACTGTATACTGAATACAGCTACAAATTCGGACCACAACATACTCTCCAATATCATGACATGCTGTTAATGTCACATAACTTGAATCCGTACAGGATCTAACATATACTTGATTTTATGAGCTTGATCAAACAAAATGCAAAAACTTTTCTAATAAACATATAAATTGCCTTAATGGTCGAAATCTTCAACAATGAAAATAAAGTGCTCGGGACTTAAAGAAAAATAGTTAACACCCTAATTAATGACACAATGAAAATAAAAAAACGATAATCGGAATGCAATATATATGGGATTTGGTTCGCTATTTTAAACTATTTAATTTCTCGCATCCACATCTAACTGCCTCTTAACTTTTACTTTCATTACTGTTTTCATGAACGATGACAGAAGCATATCACTAAAGCATGACTAGATATTAAGCGAGGGAATCGCACAACGACAGGTATTTTGAAAGAATAAATTTTCATGCTTTTTTCAAATCTGCGAAGATGAGAACTTTGCTTGAGGCTTAATACTTGCTATAAGAAAAATGCAGACAAAACAAAATAGAATACAAGGCAAAGACCTGGTCAATTTAGGAAGGAAAGAAATACCTATATAACAATTCTTGACGCCTAGATAAGATGAATTCATCACAACAAAAAGACGGGCCAATCATTTATAGTGACTAAAAAATCATGAATCAACATACGCCAAATTACTGTTTAAAAAATTTACTGAAAAGTAGCAAATCTAATGTGACCATATTTTTTAAAACGCAGTTCATATATTAGATTTCATACTGGAAATAAAATTTTTCCTAAATATTAATAGAAGTAGTGATATATTTCTTCACAAGCTTTTGTTCCAATGAAGGTCGCAACTTCTTCATATTACGAATACCGGGAATGGTACTACGCAACTTTCTACCAGAGGAATCCATCTCTGAAATTTTATTTACGCATTAAAAGCATAATGATAAATCTCAAAGTGATCTGAGTAAATATGAAAAAATGATATTCGGCTTCATTTACCTAACATAAGTAATTTAAAGATGTGTATTTATCAACCCATCCTTCTACAACCTTCAGACAACCGTGGTTTACATTAGAACTTCAATGTGAGTCCAAACTATTTTAACATCAGCGCGATTAAAAAGTGTTTCTTCATAAATAAATACAGAGCTATATCTCTTATTGTTAAATAAATAAAATAAAATAGATCAAGACAATCTTATTCTAATCAAATGAAAAATCATTAACATAGAATTTTTAATCATGCATACACCCCAAAATTTGAGTAACAAGATCCATTTTTGCTTTGCAGTTTTTTTTTCGTAATCTGTAATGAAAATACTGAAGCCCTTGTTTGCACTTTTGCTTAAAACAAAATTTAAACAAACTATAGTGCTTTCGGTGAACAATGATAACGTCCAGATGCATCACTTTTTTTTCCTTGAACTCGACTTTAAGCTGACTTGAGGTCTTGGTCGCAAGCCCCGTAAGCCCTTTCTTCGAGATATAGTACTGAGTTCCTCTTTCTCGAAGTTTTTAATTTTATCAGTACCGGTTCCCAGAATACAATTGCCAAGTAACTTCTCATCACTGGATTGCATAGAACTGTTCAACGACTGACTGCTAATTCGGTCGCTTTTTCGTCTTTTTGGCTCAGGCAACATGTGCAACGACTCATTATTTCCTGAACCATGATTTGAATTGGCATATATATTCAGGTGTTCATAATAAATAATAACTACTAAATATTTGAAACAAGCACATTCTGATACGCGGAAAATTGAAAACAAAAGTCAGCATGGACACAAATATGGAAAAATTATTTAGAATTACTTTGAAATATGCATAAATTTCATCGGAATCTATAAAAACTTATTAAAATCAACCTGCTGAGATTTTCAACTTTTCGATTACGAACAGTGAACAACATATTATTAGCAGTATAAAAAAGGTGCTTCAAAATGCCAGACGAAGCACCATGACTAAACTTTTTAAAAGTTGAAACGCTTAGTGACTTCTTTAGAAAACAACTATGCTACATTCAGACCTTGGACTTATAGTATAGGACTATGAATCTGGAAAAAGCAGAACAATAATATATTAACATGACCAGCAATTAACAGGAGACAACGGACCTGAATCTCTTGGTGAAGAATTCGATGCAGGGCTAAAAATGGGAATAATGACTTGAGATGCTCTGAAACGGGTTGAAGGACCTGCAACAGTGTTGAAAGGTTTTTTTCTTCCCTTAGATGAATTTTGCTTATCATTAACAGTACCAACGTTCGCTGTCTTCAATTTACGTTTAAGAGATGGCGACGATGCAACGTTTTTCGAAACTACTTCATCTTTTATCGGCAACTGCTTTGCACTTTCTTTCTTGACAGAATTCTTTGATTTTTGCTTTTTTGATTGAGATGAATCTTTAATCTCGTTCAAAATCTGAAAGATGAAAATTCATTATCAACCTACAATTTCCATCCATAACCGCATGCAATTGACAATCCATTTTATAATGAGCACATAAAACATACTGAATGAACTGCTTCAAAATTCACTTTTCCTACGTACGGAGTTTCATAAGACAATTTGAAAAGCTTCGTGAGCCAAGACACATCACCTTCTACAAGCTTATGAATATTTTTATCAAGCTCTTTGGAAAACTTTTGTTTCTCTGCCATAACCTAAAAGAAAAGGATTACTTGAAATATATATCAACATCAAGTTATGAAAGAAACCAAAATTTATCTTTCATTTTTAAATTTCACTCCTAGGAGAATAAATTCCAATCTCATCTTCATAGATGCCGAACTAATTTCATATTTCAGACTTTCCACAGATCAAATATATATATAGCTATTTGAAAATAGCATTAATTTTCTCGACTTTTTGCGCGATAGAAATATCACAGATAAAAGCATCATTACCGCTTCTGGTTTTAATATACATTTTTGCCAAGGCAAAGTTCCACATAACCAATAAAGAATATTATAACACAATATCTCTAAATCTCCTCTAAATGAGGGAGCACAACCACGATGAGCATCTAAGGAAGTGAACAATAAGGTTCCATTATGAGCTGAAAACTGAAAATTTGAAGAAAAAAAACAATACTAAGATCGCTAGTGCCATGTAGCTTTTCGGGTGTTCCTTCGCATAATCATAGTAATGATACAGAAGAATTTTGCATCACTAGCAATTTTAATGAAGTGTCTACCAACACAAACCCTAATTTCGTTTAATTATTTTGTAATACAAAATAATAAACTATGAGCTTCTCATACCTCTTTTTTTGTCTGGCTTATCGACATTTCCTTTTGCCATCCTTGCGAGTCCAAAATCGACCAGAAAACATCTCGAAAATTTCTTGGCCGATGCAAGTAAAATATTTTCTGCTTTTATATCACCATGCACATAATCCTAGGAAAGATATTTTGAAAATAGACAATTGATTTTACAAGACAGAGATGAAGAATGAGCTTTAATGAAAATAAGCTGAGTGCTCTCGCAGAAAAAATAAAATATAAAAACCAACGTGATCTTGCATGTAACACAAACAGTCAACACACTGCTTTGCAATTGTCGATACTATATTTATATCAAAAGTGCCATCATTACTTGCTGTCCTATATGCTTCCAAAGATCTTTCATAACAGGGCATAATAAGAAATCGTAATTTTTGATTATTATAACTGAATAATCCACTACTTATGTAAGGAGGCAAACCGACATGTGCGATATCTATAAAATAATCACACTTATATCTCAATGATTTCGTGCGAAAATTTTTAGCTCCAAAGATAACGTTATTTCTTAGGATGAAATATTGTCAAACTTTTTTTATTCATCCATGAAGCGAGTTTCTGGGGCGTAAGTATACGTTGAAAAACTGTTATTTCAGTAAAAAGAGGGCCATTTGCATATGGTTCAATTTTAATAGCAAGAGAACCAGCTTTACCATATTCCTTGCTATTTTCCTGAAATAAATTTACACTTGAATATTTCATATTCAAATACAGAATGGAGTATGCAACAGAAAGAATAAAAATTATACTGAACACAACATACCTGATTCTAATCACACTTTGTTTTTAATATTAGTTAGTCAATACACATCAACATACTTTAGCAAATTTTTCGGAAAGTTTATTAGTAACATCTATTATTGGCAGAATGAAATGAAATATGAAATCAAACAATGGAGGTAAATACTACCTGCCTGCCTGTATAAATTCGTCCAAAACCACCACGAGCAAACTCTTTTTCGATGATGAACTGTTGCTTGCGAGTATCTGTGATAACCGTTTTTTCCGCTACAGTGCAAGCTAACTGATGTGACCTTTGTCGTGCAGGCATAATTTCAACGAGAAGTGTCGTTTCTTAAAATCTAAAAAGTGAAAAATATAATTAATGAATGCGATACAAACACCTAAAATACACCCGAAACGAACCATTACTACTGTAGGCATACATTAATTTCCAAGTGTCAATGAAGAAAAATTATCAATACAAGATCCTAAGTCATAACTAAAAAAGGATTCTTATTTCTTAGGTGAGCGCTCGTTAATTTAAAAGTCATATGCAGTAAGTTTAAGCAAAAATCAAAGGAGATGAGAGAAATAGCAAATGACCCAAAGAAAGGCTTAGACAACTCTATTAGAGAGACTGAATAATCCACTACTTACGTAAGGAGGTAAACCGACACGTGTAATATCCATAAAATAATCACTCTTATATCTCAACGATTTCATGCAAAAATTTTCAGCTCTAAAGATAACGTTATTTCTTGAAATGAAATATTGTCAAACTTTTTTTCATCCATCCATGAAGCGAGTTTCTGGGGCATAAGTAACGTTGAAAGACTGTTATTTCGATAAAAAGAGGGTCATAAGCATATGGCTCAATTTTAATTGCAAAAGAACCAGCATTACCATTATACTTTACCTTACTTACAACAAACCAACTTCCTAATTCATTCAATTCAAACAACGCCTTTAATGAGCGGGTAAGTCTCATAATGTCCTTATGTAAACGTCAAAAGAATCTCATCCCTACTTCCTTCTAGTACATGCCCTGGTCCACCCTTCCTAACGCTATCAGTCTTTAATTGTCATCACAACCGATACTTTCCTCTCAAATTAATTCTGTAAATTTCTCTTCCGGGTTTAGGGACGACCAGCCAAAAATCAATTTTTGGCTTTTCTAAATTTTTTCACGTTCTTATTATTAGTAGTAGTCTTTGATGTTGATCTTGGAAAGCGTTTTGGGTAGGATGTTTTCTCAGAATCAGGATGCTAGGATAGACCATACTTGATAATATTTTGAAACTTTTAAATTTGTATGTTGTTATGCACGACGATATAATTAAGAAATGTTGTGTGGAAAATTGCATTTATTTCCTTTCTTGCGCCAGAAGACGCTTTGTGGGGCAGCATTATTCGCTGCCTAAAATGGATGGTATGACTTCAGTTGATAAGTCGAGTGTAACAGAAACAATCATCGACAAAGCAAATAAGTATTAGTTTTACTTGATGATTTATTATGCATTGCATCATATATCGTCGTACTTTTGTGGCACTCATCAAAATAGGTGTCATCCAAGAATTGATGAATTCTGTAGTATTTAAACTCAAGTATTCGGGAATGTTGTTATTACTACAATTGACTATCTGTAGTGTAGTCGGAAATTAATTTTTGAGCTTCCCATTATTAGCCAGATTGTCTTTATGTTTGCTGATAGTACGAGAAACTTTCAGATTAAGAATCGATTCAGCTACGGAAAATAGAAATGAAAATGACGGAGATAGTATGTCTTCATCGAAACCATTATCATCACTCATGATGAAAGATAATTCCACTTCAGAGAATGCTTCGAGAAGTGTACTGCAGACAAGTACAAAAGTATCAATCTGTTCTAGTTTTCAAAGTTGATTCCTACAGAAATATTTCGATTTCTTTACATAAAAAAATGAGCGTAGCCTTGAAAGTATGTTGTCGATAAGACTAACTCTCAGAAGATACAGATTTCATTAAAATTTACCGCATGATTCTAGCATTATTTGCATTTTTTTGATATTTTGTCATTTTCTCTGTATCCCCGTTATGAATATTACTAAAGACCTTAAGTTTAACACTAAAATTCGTTTGAAGAACTGTGAATGGAGACAGAGTATTCTGTTTCTCTTGGGATAATTTTATAGTCTCATTTTCATAATAATTTATAAGATTGATAATTGGTTTCTTTTTGTATAGTAATATGCCTTAGGAAGGATACCTCATTTTCCAAAAAGAAAGTCATATGATAAATAGTAGACTCTATTATCTACTGGTTCTTTTTCAGGTGTACTATCATATCGATGATGAGACGGTCCCTTATTGTACTGATGTCTTGGTGCCCCCTGATAAAATAACATTGGGGGATTTTAAACGTGTGTTAACGAGATCAAATTTTAAATACTATTGCAAGGCACCTGCTCCTGATTCTGGAGTCTTCCCGTAAGTCAAAAGTTTTTTTTCTTGATAAAGTTAGTGTACATGTTTATGAAATAAGAGCTTTTAAAACATTTGGAAATGGTCATTTTTTTGCTGAAACTTGAATGATTGTAGTAGTGATGAAAACATCTCTGAAAAAATTAATAACAATGAAATTGTTATAGTGAAGTAAAAGTTGAAATACGAGATGATAGTGAACGTTTGCATCGATCAACGAATGGCCAGTTTGAGCTCTTTTTACTCACATCAGAAGGCAGTAGTCACTCTGATGGTTCCTCAGGTCTTCCTTTGAAAACTGGTCGGGTAATAGTAAGTCCATTTTGATAAAGACTTCTATTTTATTTGCAACATTGATGTAATAGTTTTTTGCAATGAAAGCTAACATATGTTGATATTACCATGTAGATCCAGTGATATGTTCGATTAAAGAAATATATACAAAACGAGTTTGAAAAAGGTTACTGAGGGTAAATTAATCGAAAATATTTTCGCTTTGTTTTTCGGTTCCTGGACCGGCGCCAACCATGTATCCCGTTGGAAGTATGGCGTATCGTCAAGCTGTGCAGCAGTTTGACCAGAGCAGTAATCTTTACTTTTTTATTATAATTTTCCACTTGTGGATTTTTTACTTAATTATATAGAAAAATTGAAATTGTTTAGTGGTATCGACGGATTCCGATTCTTTCATCAGTGATATGAGAGCGTTACCGCTGCAAGTAAAAGGTATGGCGAGGCGACAATTCCAACAGCAATATATTCTTCCTCAAGGTTATTTATGGCATCTATTATGTCGGTAAACTTCGTCCGATTTAGTTTTACGGACGAACTTCCGTTTTGCTTTATTGAATATAAGTACTGATCAGGTATCTTTTCAGAAAGATATTTGGTATGTTAGTTAATTATATAATATAAATTATTTGATTTTCGATAACATGCAGTCAATTAGCTCTTGACTTTTTCACTAACTTTCAAGTTGTTATTTCTGTGATGCTTTGATGAAAAGTTAATTCAAAGACTGCATATTTCGAAATCATGATGAGTAAGATGGTAACAATAGAAATTCGATTTCCATTTCTTCATATGGAATGAGAGATTACCACTGAATATTTTGTCCCTTAGTGTTTCAGAAGTCAGTTATTGCTGTAAAATTTTTTTAAAAACATATGACAGCTTTTATATTTTTCTGTTGTTTGTGCGCTATTTAATTTCTTTTGCAATTTTTCAACTAATTTATTTTATTTTTACTTGGTTCTCCTGTAGATGAAAAAAAAGTTCTTGCATAATATATTGAAGAATGAATTGCTTTGGTTGCGCTCTTTTCAGAATTTATTTCCTCCTCGGCAAGTCATTATTGCTAAGCAGGAGTCACATTTTTCTGTATTACCACTCACCAAATGTATTTCGTGTTCTCATCTTATTTCTCACTGTGCGCATTTCGTGTTAGTTTTCGTGCCAGATCTGAACATATTTTCTTGTCATTTGGTTTTTTCAATCAATCGCCTTGTCATTTTGAGAAGCACTTTTGAAGGAAACAGCGAAAGCAAGAATTTTAATTGCAATTTAGCCATGGCACATGTTTGAAAACAGCTTGAAATTATATGCTATTAAGCAATTTACGGTCTTGCGATTTTATCTCTAAACAGCAAATGACCATTATTTACTCTCTTTTTCTGTCTGTCTGTCTGTCTCTCTCTCTCTATATATATATATATATATATATATTTGTGCAGGAGTGCGGAGATTAATCTTTTTGTGTTCTTGATTCGGATCATGCTCCAACATAAATAAATGCACTATATATGTATGTAGTTTTCCGGATGGCGTGAGAACTTTTTTTTTCCCTGTCTATTTTATTGTTTTAAAAATTATTACTTTTTATCTAAGCGTAAAGATTACTCTCGAAATACTTCGGTCTTTTATATTCTATTTAGGACATCGTGTTGGTCGACGCTTTGAAGACTCAACACTGGGCTCGGAGAGTGATGCTCGATTGTTCTCTGATGATGATGATCGATCAAGGTTTTTTAATAAGTCATTCGAAGTTATAACACTTTTAAAATTTGCCTTCTCAGTAGTTTACATTAAATACTGGAACGCTGTAGAGTTATTGACTAATGCTAGGCAGATTAGCAATACACGTGTCATAAACCAGATATCTCTGCAAATAACGCAATCTAGTGCTTTATTAGTTTTCATTCATTTTTAACTGACATTTTCTGCTTTTTTCATTCAGGGTTTCAACATCCACTGACATTACTAGTGTCTCTCGGCAGCACCATGCTGCTGCATATCGTAAGCGTCGAAATCGTCGGAGATTCCGGCAGCCTTCGCGAGCATCATCTTTCAGTAGCATAACAGAAAGTTCGATGTCATTAGATGTAATCACAGTTACTTTAAATATGGATACGGTGAATTTTTTAGGTATCAGCATTGTTGGGCAAAGTTCTTCACGAGGTGATAATGGCATTTATGTGGCTAATATTATGAAAGGTTATTTACTTATATATTACCAAAATTAGTTATAGAAGCAATCGTTTTGTCAGATCATGACACTTTTAGTTACCTTAATTTTTATTCCTGAGATTGGTCGCCCCGGTTCATTTTATTCATTATTGTAGGAGGTGCTGTAGCGTTAGATGGAAGAATTGAACCAGGTGATATGATTTTGCAAGTAAATGATATTTCGTTTGAAAATTTCACGAATGATCAAGCTGTAGACGTTTTGCGTGAATCAGTCGCACGAAGGGGGTAAGTTCCATCAACTATGGGGACTGGTAAGAAATGATTGAATTATGATGAAAAATTATATACAAATATTTTTCCCATCAGAAATTTTGCAGCTGATTTTAGATTCGTTTGTTCTTGACTACCCTTGAATTTTCATATTTTAGGCCAATCAAACTGACAGTAGCTAAAATGTGGGATAGTGGACCAAGGAGTGCATTTACTGTCCCGAGACATCGAGATGAACCAGTGCGACCAATCGATACTCAAGCATGGATTCAACACACCAATGCTATGCGAGGAATGCCATCAATTTTAGAAGGTAAATTATTCACATCTGTAAAAACACCCATTCTTAAAAATTCTAGTATCTTGGTTGCTTTATTTTTCCTACTTCATCACAAAACTTAGGTTCCGAAGGCGCTCCTACTCCAATACCTGGTCAGTATGGTCGACCTGCAAGTAGCAGTACTGCAACATCGAATGGTTCCGTTCCAAACACCATTGTTGGTGGAGGTTGTTGCAATTTTGATATTCTTCGTAATCTGTTAAAGTAGTTCAACTTATTAATAGACTTGTAGCGTTCTTGTAATTTTCTAATGTGCTCTAAGTATTTTCAATCTATTCATGTGTGTTTTCATCCATCCTTTAGCGCAATTCCGATTAGATGCAATGACTGACAAAAAGAAAGTTGTTCAAATGATGGTCATGCCCAATTCTGGATTAGATATCAAAAACAGAACATGGTTAAAAATTCCTATTCCCATGTCTTTTCTCGGTAAGACTTGTCTTGTCACATTTTGCATTAAAGTATCGCTCTCAGTTAGTTCTGAAGGATGTAGACTGGTTTGTTTTATGACTTTGTCGGTCTCTTTTTATTAGTGAGTAGATAAAAGCTTTCGAAAGAGTGCTTACTCATGTGATATTTTTCTATTAATAAACATTGTATTGAGACTAAGAGAATTCATGTTTTTGATTTGTTAGGTAGTGATTTGGTGGACTGGTTGATGGAGCATGTTGATGGTCTTCGTGATCGAAAAGATGGGCGCAAATTCGCCGGTGAATTATTGAAAGAAAAATTGATCAGTCATGTGGTTAATAAAATTACTTTCACCGAGCAATGTTATTACATTTTGGGCGAAGAATGTGCTGGTTTGTTCTTGTGCAATAAATTTTAATAGGTTTTAACGTCTAGATACCATCGTGAGTCATTGAATCGTCGACGTGAGTGAGGTTCATGTGAGTTTAGATATTTAGCAATAGATTTCGCATCTATGACGAACTGGTAAGCAAATTTATCGGAGTCCTAAAGCGCTGCAAAATTACTATTGTTTTATAAAATTGAGTTCTCACCCATTAAGATTATGCTCGCTTGCGGCAAAATCCTGGGGGTGATGATCTTGGTGTTCGAAGTGAAGTAGGATCAGTTTTACCACCCCCACCACCCGGGCTTGTTGCTGCCGCAGCTGCGCAACATACTGGAAGAGCTTGGGCACAGCCAACAGTGATACCACAGAGTGCTCCTTCTATGGTAAGCGGTATTGAAAATGCTGCGAGTGCTGATGGTATTGCGCGATTCTATCTAACTAACCTATAGATTAAGTTCTAGGTTTATATGTTGTTTGTCTAATTTTTTCTTATTATTCATTTTAATCTGTAACTTTTTCACAAGTTAATTTTTTGTCACATTGCTTCTTTTCAAACTAATAAGTTAAATACTTTTTTAGTAAATTATACAGTGATTTTACATTAGTATCAAAAAAATTTCCATAGTTTTTAATGAATTTAACTTGAACCTAGTGTTTTCACTTTTTGTCATAAAGGAATTAAGGCGTGTCAAGGAATTGTTTGCAATTCCTCAGAAATCAGAAAATGCTCTTTCTGCATTTATTATGCTTGATTTTTTAAATTTATTACTGGTGGCTTTGAAATATACTATATTTATATATTGTTCGATATTTATGTTTCATTTATACAAAAACTCACTCTTATTCATTTGTTGAACCCATGTCACCTTTCTAATTCACCCAACTTTACGATTTTGATGCCACTCTTAACATTGTTATAGTGATTGAGTTTTCTTCATTAAGATCTCAGTTATAAATAAAAGAAATTAATCTTATTATCCATGAATTAGCTAGCTTGAATTGCTCTCCTAAATTACAGAATTTCAGCAATTTTATCTTTGTGCCTTCTTTTTACGACTGCTAAAGTCAGATTTTTAAACTATGAATTAAAGCAATGCTTTGGTGAAGAAAGTTTTTTGCTGAAATCTGAATTTCGCTTTACTCTCATATTTAATTAGTGTTGATTTCATTCGGTGCAAAGCATGGTTGAGTTTCAGGATTTTTTAATAAAATGGAGGCAGTAAAGGTTGGCTGTATTTGTTTTATTAGATGATTTATCACTTCTAGACTTAAACACGAAAATTTATTTCTGATTTCAAGCAGAATAATATTACTGTTGCATGAAATTTCAATACTCATCTGTTGAAATTAATTTACTTCGGTTACCATGTTATTTTTTCTCCTTAAGTTCGTAGTGTTCATGGCAATCCAAATTTGCGTTCTGCCTTTTTCTAAGTAACGACCGCTTAATCTTGACAACAGCTGCGCTTACTTGCTATAAAAATATGTTGATTATTGTTAGTTGCTCATTCTTTATTATTTTTTCCGCGTGAAATTTCATTTGTCACCAGATAACATAGTTTGTGTATGTAATCAACTAAATCAAGAGGGACATCGCAAATTAAGTAAGAAGAGTTTGTTACGAGTTCAGTCACTTTTTCTAGTCTTCTAAGCTTTCTGTGAAGATTAGTTATACAGTACTTATTAATTCATGGTAAAAGATTTCCTACAGTTTAATCATGCTCCAAAATTGTATAGAATGTGAACGAGGTCATAATAATAGTGCTAATGATCTATTTGACTTCTGGAACTATCTTGAAATTGGACGTTTTCGGCTAGAATGCGTTAAAAAATTTGGTTAAGCATATTTCATAGCTTTTGTCATCCATTATTTAGAAATTTGATAGCTTTATAGTTATTTGTAAGAACTTTATTGGGAGTCAAAACGGAAGAAGCCAATTTCAAATGTCGAATGGAGAACGGTATCTTTTTTTTTTTTCAAATGTCGAATGGAGAACGGTATCTTTTTTTTGTTGTAATAGTAGCGTAATGCTTTCTATACTACTTATCCGCAAAGAATTGTACATTGTCTGAAAGTTGTTCTGTTTCTTAGTTTTTTCAGGTACTTACGTCCTATTAATTGAATTGGATATGTCCTTTTGTTGAAAAATTTGTTTTGCACATATGTGTTCTTGTAGCATGTTGTCATCTTTAGTGATAACATTGTTAGTAGCATAAAATGTATGCCATGATAGCTTTACCACAGCATGTATTTAGATGTAGCGAAAGGTCATTGGGCAGTTTTTGAATGTGATGTTAATGCAGTATCTTAATTATGAAATAACCATATTAATCTTAAAATATATGAAATTTGACCCCACATTTAGGTTGATCAACCATAAAATGTTGATATTTTCTTGCTTGTAAGTTTGTATAAATATTAATGTAGCCAGTTAGGCTTTGAGCTTGCACAAAATTGCGTTAAGTTGGGAAAATAAATTTGGACAAATCAAATTATGGGGCTGTTTGTTGAGCGTCACTATTATACATTAATGATTCATAGTTAAATTATCTGACAGATTTTGGGATGATTCTCTTTATGATTAAAGTATTTGGCAAATTTTGGAAGTGAAAAAGTACAGGGTTATATTGGAGTTTCAATAAGGTTTTATAGTTAAAAACATAAAATGTCTAATAAGAAAATGATAATACTCTATTGTTATTTGTTTTCTTTTGCTGTAGGTCCAATCAAAGACTTGGTCTGTTTTGTGATTCATCTTGTGTTCTAAAGGTTGTATTGACTTAGATAAGTGGATATGCATCAATGCAAATTACACCGTACCCAAATAAGCAACAGTATGTTCCTCAAACCAATGTAGCTGCTTTAACCCACAAAAGTACTGGAACTTGTAGTGGTGGTCCAGATGTACACAGTCAAACTAGCAGCAATGATGGTTCGAGTGGAAGTGAAAAGAGACGAGGGTATAGCTTTTTTTTTTGTTAAATGTGTATGTCACTTCAAATGAGTAGTTGAGAAGATGTCCTCTGTAACTTATAGTTTTGTAAAAGGATGTATGCTAACATATATGAGCAATTAAAATAGCTGAAATATTTAATAATACTTTAAATAGAGCCGTAGCTAGTTAAATTTTACTAAAAGCAATCATATTGATGATATCAGGAGTTGCTTTCAGTCGTGCTGTTTTACCGCCTGCTCCAATACCATCAGCTGCTCATTCGATCGCGGCTGCGCCTCATGTTCAGAAGGGTACTTCACTTTCCTTAACGATGGGATCTTCTCTTCGATCAGTTCCATCTAATAATCGTCTAGAAGAAATGCCACGAGATCTGAGATCAAGTCGACAAAGTTTTCGAATTGCTATGAGTCAGCCGTTTGAATTTTTCGTTGATAATTTGTAGCTTTTTGTTTAGAATCATGCGATTTCTGAAGAACAAGGTAGCTTTTGATCATACAATAATTAAATCTGTATTCCAATGCTAATTTTCAATATTTCGATGTAATATGCCAGGGTATTTGAAAGGAGAATCCGCTTCTAAAAGAAGCCTACCTTCTATGGTTTAAAATTCCTATTAAAGTAGTGAATTGACTCATAAGGGATCAAGAACTAGTCAAGAATGTTTCAGAAGTATTCTGAGTATGTAAAATTTTGTAGGGTAGTGGATCTACCTTTCTATCTGTTTCAATGATGAGTAAACACATGAAGTGGCGTTCCGAAAAGAGTTTCAGTGATTACTTATATCTGATTAAGCTTTCATACTTAAGGTCCAATTGAACTCAATCAGTGGTATTTCCTTTTGTAGTCTGTAATAATTTATATGTAATTAGATCTTCTTCATGAGCATTTCGTTTGCATTAATCATTTGCTAGTTTCATAAAGTAAATCCAAAGATTTCTCTTCAATTTTTGTTAAAAAAAATTGCTCTACGAATTCTTTTTTGAGTGTAATTCATGAATTGTATCTGTGTTTGTGAGTTTTTTTACCTTCAATGCCTTTGGTTTTATTGGATATTTTGCTGAGTTGTAAAATTTAATGGTTTATCTACAACAATTTAAATAAAGATTTTTCTTGCAACTATGGTTTTGTACCAGGAAATGAGTATTTTAAGAATTGTATCATCTCTGATGTTCTGTTGGCTAATCGTAATTCGTTGTTAGAGATTTTCTTATTTAAATTGTTTGACTGGATTACAAATCAAAGATTCGTCTAATTTCTGGAAAAGTAACATTTAAGAAAAGCTTGGAAAGTGAATGTTGTCATTAAAAGTGCATTTTGAAGCTTACAATATTATATCAAGAATAGGAAATCGATTAATAGTACCGAACGCTTATCCTTCTTATTCACCAAAACCAAGTAAATCCCTCTGTATGAAAGAATTATATCAAATTTAGAAAGTCAATTATAGGAGCAGATTTTTATCATGATATTACAGGAGCAGGAGTCGGAGTAAAGTTTAGAAGCACAAGTTCAGAATTGAGAAATCTCCATTATTTAAAGAAGGCGGTAAAATGTTCCAATAGAACCTGAAATCCTTAATTGTTGGTAGTATAGCAGTTATTTTATTGATTAGTTTTGGAGATTATGAAATTTGTTTTTTTTTACAAAGCTACCGGAAATTTATCCGATATAATTTCAGATCTTGCGTTTAAGACAACACTCCCTATGCTGGAAATGTTAGAACACTAAGCTATTTCTGGAATACTTTCTTTTGTTTTTGACAAATCTATCTCGTTGTAATCTACATTGGTTATCAAAAAATACAGGACATGTGTATCTAACTGAAGTTAAAAACGCTGCACAGACATGCATGCTTAGTTTCGTCAGTCGGTATTGCTCATAATGTATTTTGGAGAGGACAGGCAAAAAGTGTTTTATAATCTGATGCAGAAATTTCTCCAGAAACTTATTAACTGCATTCATAGCAATCAATGTTGCTAGTAACACAAATGTTAAGCAGTGTCAATATCAGTCAAGTGAAAATTTAGGCCAGAATCAGTCTGAAAGCTTTTTACTGATATGAGCTCAGGTTCTTTCAGTATTTTTCGATTATTCTTTTGAGAATAAAGAATTGAAAAGAGAATTCCAGTCATGCAGATTATCCCTTCTATCACTGATTACAATGGTTTCCAGAAAATTGAGACCATACGATCCGCGAAAATATTACTTTCAAACATTCTATTGGTTTAAATTTGACTTATAACCATTTTAATGTATTTCTTCCACCTCGTGCATGCTACAGTCTATTTCTTAATCCAACTACTGAACTTTTTGTCTGCAGCAATCGTTATTAGTACCAACTATTGTTACAGACTGCTATATTAGCAGTAATGAAAAATAAAAGCAAGAAAAACGAATTTAAAAAATGCTATAAAACTATGAAATTTCAAAAATTTTCGCATATCTTAGAAGCCAACTTCTGCTTTGATAATTCCCTCTATAGAATCGATGCTTCACCCAATTGAAATGAGTGAGAAACTACTTACCAAACTTGTTCAACCTTAAGATTACTTTTTATAGTTTCCTTGATGTAGATAATTCAGTTTATTCGATGAATCATTCAAATTTTTTCAATCTTGAAATTAGTTTCTCGCTGCAGAATCAGGAGCAAGAAGTTCTAAAAGTTTTCAATATTCTTTCACTTATCAATGATTTTGTAGATGAATGGAAAACAAAAAATTTAATAAATCTTATCATAGCTGACTCTGTAGTTCGAAACGATTGAAATGGGAATATTATAACTGCTTGAATTTGAGATTTTGAATATATCTTTGCAACTTTAAAAGCCAAATTTCTAGAATCAAATAAAGTAAAGAACATCGCAGTCATTGGCATTTAAGACTCAGAATAGTAAACTTGAAAAGTGAGATTGCAATTATCATATTTAGCGTTAAAAGATTAAGTTACAGCTTAAGGAACGTTCAAAATTTAAATCATTGAAGATTTATAAAAGTCGCAGATAGCCTACTTTCCCGAAACGAATCCACCTTTTTTTTATTTAAGATTTCTGACATAACTCGTATTTCATTTAGAAAAATATTTCAACATTTGATACTGCAATCATATTTTTGTTATATTCAATAAGCGCATAATTAAATCATATACTATTATCATATTGCGGAGAAATACTAATATTTCATCCTATGATTGATTACATTTAAAAACATAATGCTTGCAAAATAGATGGTGATAATGATGAATTCACTGAAATTCCTATTATAATTTTCCCATTAGCAATCATGCCTACAAGAAGTATGTATTCCCATTTATTCGCAAATAAGTACCACAATAAAGTGATCAGAGAAGAAGTAGTGATGATTAAGTGTACTTAAATCTCATTTTCTTCCTGAAAAGCATAATTCTCAAACTGTTGCAAAACTCTTTAATTAAATTAAATAAGAATTCTTATATTAACAGAAGAACTTTTACCAAACATGTTGTTAAATGTAATTTCAAGTTTTGGAATGTCATTCACTATATTTTTCAATGCTGACATACGTATCATAAATTTGAGTTGATTTACAAAATACCTGTACTGGCAATATTCAAATAAAGGTAAGAATATGATAACTAATTTGATATCGATGTGTCTTTTTGAACTTTTGAACTTGCTGATGTTACTGTAATGTAAAAGGATAACATGCATGTTTTAGCACAAAAATAAAATCACAATATTCGAAATCATTGATAGAACTTCACAATAATAATTGACACTAGAAAAAAAGACCGTAACAACCGAACTCTTAATCTCATCCTCCATTTTATATGACTTGGTTTATGTGGAGGATTCTGGACAAGCAAAATATATTAAGAGCTGAATCTCATAATTTTTAGAGGTTTTGTTTTGGGATGTATTAACCAGTTGTTTAATGATTAGATGAAGAAGTTCTGTACTGCTTGAAAAAACTGAATTTTTACAGAATTAATAATGAAGTTTTTTACTTTCAAGCTAATAAGTTGCATGTCGAACCTTTACAAGTTAACAACGAAATGTATGGCACGTTTCATGCAGTTAGATGTTGCCATGAGAAGGTTAATGACCAATTAGAAACTGTTACTCAGGTTCAAGGTACAAAATAACACACTGTGTAACCTGACGGTCTGCAAAGAGCACGGAAACCAGCTTTACACTACGTGGTATGACATTAAAAAAGCGTTCGATTCGGTTAATCACGGATATCTTGATTAAATGCATTGAAAGGCTTAACGTGCCATCGTGGACCAGCAGGTTTCTAAAAAGCATCACCTCCAGATGGTCGGTTACATTGAAAAGCAATTGAGAAACTATTATGGAGAAGAAAATAGAACGAGGAATTCTCTAAGGTGATAGCCTTTCTCTGCTGCTATTCATCCTGTGCATGACCCGTTGAGCCATCGGCTTAATATAAGGTACACAAG